CTGAGATGCTTGTGCAGCAGGATGAAATGTGATTTCTGACGTTAGATAATATGCAACATGAAGTTGGAACACTTTAATTTGGATGCTATACTAACAAGTAGAAAATGTCATAAAGGCCTGATCTAGTTACTCTTCAAAAGTGTCATAATATTTCTATCTACTTATATTTAAAAAGTGTTGTGATATGTTATTGTACTCAAGCATTTCTTGTCATTATAAAGTGTCATAATAGGCATAAATAATGACATTTAATAATGTCATAATAATGATAAATTGGGACACTTAAAACTGTCATAAACCTATCGTGACGCGAGAATGGATGACGCTATCAGTAAAGCGTCATTATAGCCTAAACGTAATGACATAGATCTATAATGACGCTTTTGAATGTCATAAAATGACACTTTTGTAGTAGTGAAAGATATCAAAGCTGTAAAACTTCCTTCTTGTATACTAATTTGCATTTCATCTCTTGCACTTCATATTCTCTTTTTATCATTTCAAATTATCATCAATCATCCAATTATCTTTTCAATTCATGCCATTTGATGATTGAATCATTAAACCTACAAAACATGAAGTTTTCACTATTAAAATTCATAAAAATGTAATTTTCACACTTCAAACGACAAAATGTATATTTTCACCAAAATCCTAGTTAATTAACTATAAAACTAAATAAAACACACTTAAAACATGTAAAATATACACTTATCAAACTTTCTCACACTTGAATCATTGTATGTCCTTAATCAATTAGAAATACAAATCAACAATGATCCAAAATTTTGAAAATAAACATATGTGTACAATTCAACTTCATTTTCTCAAAACAAGGTAAAGAACTATTATGCAATTACTCAACTAAACTCAAGTATTCATAATATCAAATAAAGGAGAGCCAATTATACCATTATTGTAACTAGTTCAAATCATTTTCTCATCCTTATCCAATTTCACAAACAAGTTACTCATATGGTCAATAAAAATATTTCCTAAACCCATGATCATCTTCTTATTTAATTTAAAGAGGGATTTATTCATATCACATATATAAATATTACTCAAGTTATGAAAGTGCCTTTTGATGTGAAGATTGACATTTTTAGATGAAAATCGCCGATTACTCAACATTTTACATATTCAACTTGCCTTGCATACTCTTAATTGTAGTCCCGTTTTACGTGAAAATCGACATTTGTAGATGAAAATTCCTGATTACTAAGTACAAGAATCATTGGAGTAGAACAACTCTTATTCTCTCTTTTGTTTATTTTTTGCTTTTTTTTTACTTTTACTTTTTTTTTTCCTTTTTTTCAAAGTAAAGATAACAGTTAGTCCCTCAAAAGTATAATCATGAGAAGAGTATTGCAATTATTGACCATATTTATCACTTAACTTATAAAATCAAATAAAGAGAAGAAATTTCATCAAATATGCAAAATTTAGGCATAATTTTCTCCAATTTACACAATATACTTTCCTATAAATGCACAAATTATAATCATATACTAGTCATTTTCAAGTTAAATAAGAAAAGAAGTTTTCAAACTGCAAATATTTATCTCAAAAATAGAAGAAATTTGAATTACTAATGATATAGAACTTGTTACCCCTTGAATAAAATTGAAAAAATTTGAAACTTTTGGGGGCAATTTTACAATTTTTGACAAGATTTTGAAGAAAAAATTTTGGCAGAGTTTTCCCTTATAAACGTATAAATCTCCCTGCCAATAAACCTAAAATTCAAAATTTTGTAAGCACAATAAATATTTTCAAGGCAAGTCCAAATCATTTCAATCACAACCAACATATATAATCTCAATTCTCCCCCTACACTTAATATGCACATTTTTCTCAATGTGTAAAAAGGGAAATCAAGATAAAGAAAATAGTACTCCCCTATTATTGTGTTTGACGTATCATGAAGTGTCGCAAACCGTTATCCGCTTATCTCCAAAACTCCATGAGTTTCATTGGATAACCATTAGTAATTGAACCTAAGAATTGAAAATGAAAAATAAACTAGATAAGGATCAAAAGATGTAATAGTGACAAAGGCATGAAGGATTTGCTACTAACTCTGTGCCAACATTTCCTACATCATCACACAACAATTCCCAAAATTTTTATGCATTTAACACAATCATCATATTTATTACCTAGAATATGACGTATAAGCATGTCTCATTCTCTAGATAATTATAACATCACCATATAATAACAAGATTAGGAGCAAAATGTAATCTAAGGAACATACATTATGCACATGTTCAATTTTATCCCTAAAATATCACTAAAATTGCTAACTTTTTACATATTCAAAGTTCATCATCCAATCAAGTTCTATATAAAGAGTAAGTAATCAAATTGGCTAAAATGTCACCATAGAAGGAATGTATATATGTAAGCATAATAAACAAGTCACATTTTAGCAATTTGAACAATCCAATTATGCTTAACAACATTCCAAAACCAAATATCACATTGATCATAAAATAGGAATATGCATAAATTGAAACATTGTATAGATCATCACATTCCCACATTTGATCATTTAAACATGTTTAGAGATGTTAAATAAGCATAAGGGAGCTTATATACATCAGCAAATAACATTACAAATTCATCATTCAAAGTATGACATTAAACTCAAAAGATATGTAAATGATGAATGTAAAATACCAAATTAAGTTCATGTCATTTAATGATTGAATCATTAAACCTATAAAAACATGAAGAAATTTTTACCATTAAAATCCATAAAAATACAATTTTCACACTTCAAACCACAAAATGTATATTTTCACAAGAATCCCAACTAATTAGTTATAAAACTAAATAAAACACACCAAAACTAATTAATAAAACATACTTAAAACATGTAAAATACACACTTATCAACTGCAACTAAACTACTACTACTATTTGAAGTCAAATTGTCTCCACAAATCATATCTTAATCGAAAAAGGGTATATCATCATAAACAAAATAGTCTAGCTTCCTAGTACTGATAAAATACTATCCATTTGGTGGAGCGTCCTATTCATATGACTTCAACTAGCGTCTAGAAATTACACCCTAATTCCCGCGCTTTCCGGACGTATAGAGTTGTAGGTGACCATGCAGAACAGCAAATCTAGTGAAAAATCATGACTTTAATTCCCATTTTGTTCCAAATCCCTACAACCAGTGCCATTTACCAAAAATATGTAAAATCTACCAATTAATACAATATTTGGTAAAATAAATGAGAAAAATAATCATAAAATAAATGATAAAAATGTAACCTATCAATTTCCATCAAGTATTTTGTTTCAATTTTAAATCTTCCAAAACCCCTTTTTAGTTCTGACTTGGAAAGAAACAGATTTTCCCTTAATCCCTGTGGAGACGATCATACTTACCATTATACTCGAATAAAGTTTTTTGTAAGTAGAATTTTATTATTGTATAGATTCGACACCTGTCGACTTTTGGCCAGAACTATGATTATACACGTGCAACGTTAGATGGATACAAGCAAAAATTAGAGAAGACAAGGGACTAAACTCATATTAATTATTAAGTCTAGTTACATAAAAAAAAATTGTAAATGCATAAAGCTAAGCAGGAATTGACTTGTACAACTTTTAAGGGTACAACTTTGTCCAATTGAACTCAGTTGATAATTTAATCAATTCATAGAGTTTATAAATGTTTAGAATATCAAAATAAAGATTCTAACTTTAGAAAGGGGAAAAAAAAAAAAGAAAGGGAATGGTTAAATGTCAAACCACAGATAACATTTGTTACTTGGTCATTGTCCTTTTCAATTCAATTGAACCGACCACAATATTCTAAAAAATAATATACGTATTGTCTACAAATAATTGTTTTCTCCCATTTCTTTTATTCTTTAACTGGTTTATGATTACCTAAGAATTTCAACTCTATTTAATCAGCCAAAGCAGGGCAGGTCTAGTCCACGAACACTCAGGTTCAGTCAGGGTCAAAGGAGCTAAGTAGAACCAAGTAGCCCATGGGCATGAGCCCAAGCATAGCACCAAATGATGGTCTCATTGACTTTTTTTTTTTCTAGGGTAAGCGAAAGATTTCGAACTCGAAACTTGATTTAATTGTTCATAAATCAAAACATTGAAGATAATTGATTATAGGAGAGCAAAAAGTCTAAATCTCATCATTAGTTCACAAATAAAAGACTTCTCAATGTTCTCTAGTAAGAGAGGATAAAAATTTATACATAAAATATCTTGAGATTGTATTATACTAATAATTAACAATACGTGGGATAAAAATCAGTTTTATACAAACGATTTCTAGAAAACTCAAGTTTAAAATTTTTTTTTAACGCATTCTCTGACTACATTTTTAATTCACATATGCTATTTGCGATAAAATGATTGTAGTAATCATTTTCTAAAAACATTTTAAAAACAACCATTCAAGTAGATACTAAGATTTGCAGATATATGTTGTTACCGATTTAAGGACATATTATCTTTCTCTTTTTTTTGTTGTATTTTTAAGTAAATCAAGAAATTTGCACTTCATTTTCAGAAAAAATCCCCATTTGCTATCAATTATTAAGATGATTTCCTTAAAAAGAAAGCAATTCGGTCATTCAAAAATGAAAAAAGGGAACGGTCAAAATACAAAAAGGGGCAAGAGAAGTGAGAAGGCAAGAGCCAGGACTCGGATATAAAGTTCGCAATCAGGAACACTCTTTTGTGTTTTAGTGCGTGAATGTGTGCTGGGAATGGTGTCATTGTTTAGCCAAACCTTTCTACGACCTTCCATGTGACAATTGACCAACAACACGTTCAGATAGGTTTGTGCAGAAGTGAGGACAAATTGAGATTATGTATTATCTCTCACCAAAATCTGAAAGTTATCATTTGGATATTTTAATGAAAATTTTCTTGTAGATATTATTAATACACTTTTAACCTGTCTACCTCTTCATCATTTGCTAAATAAAATATGGAAAAGATCAAGAAACACAAAAATAAAAAGTAATACAATTACAGTACATTAACAACATCACGCATTATACACGATACATACAATAAAGAATAAGTTAAGACAGAGAAGATGACGTCGCAGGGAAGAAAAATTAAGAAAAAAATAAAAAACAAAAGGAGAGGAAGCAGTGGAAAGATTATGTTTTCTTCTTCTCCGCCCGCAGGCTGCGGTGTCTCCATTTCCTATCATCTGTATAGTAACCAATGAGAATTTCAGGAATGTGTGCGATTCTTCTGTAATCTTCACTTTCTTCCTTCTGATTCTCTAACAGCTTCTCTCTCAATTGAGAGCTCATCTCATACAAACCCAGCCGTTGAAGATGGCTCAAGTGTTGAATACCCAATGGCAACTCCTCTAGTAATGGAAGTTGTTCCAGAAATAGCGTCTGGAGACGAGCCAATGCACCCTCCTCCACTCTCATCCATCTCAACCCTTCCATTCTCTTTAGGTGCAACCTCTTCAGCATTAGGAACCCTCCAGTCTTGAAACACAACCCTTCTCCCTGGTAAGATCCACAGAAATTAATACTAACCAAATTGGGCAAATGTTGGAGGGATTCAAGCGGATCCTCCTCACCCCTCAACCTGCTCCAATTCAAATCTATTCTTACCAAGCCGTGAAGACGAGCTATCCATTGTGGCATCTTTTCTAAGCGGCCACGCAAAATCAGCAGATGAAGAGATTGAAGAAAAGAAGAAGAAGAAGAAGAAAGAGAAGGATGATGATGATTTAGATCGATTATCTCATGATCATCATCTTTACCAATTGAATCAACATTTAATTCCCGAAGACTGGTGAGATTGGCAAGGGAGGAGCAGAGCTCCTTTCCATCTTCTCTTCTTAACTTTGTAATACGTAATTCTCTTAATTGGGTCAGCTTTCCTATCTCCTTGACTATTGTAGATCCACTACTAGCATCTATGTAACCTAATATTTCAAGGGCAAGAAGCCCTCCCATATTAGATGGAGCTTTGAATCCGTGAGATCCATAATCATCATCTGAAGAATCAACTAGTTGATATACTCTGAGATACCGAAGTTTTTGCAGCTTTAGGATTTCCATGGGTAATTCCCTAACTCCAGTATTTCCCAAATTCAGATACTCCAAATGTTGAAGCTTCCCAATGGCTTTCGGGACTCTCTCCACTCTTGTACCATATAGGTCCAGATGCTTGAGATGAAACATCTTGAAAATCTCATTTGGCATTTCCTCCAATATCTCTTGACCTCTCAAATCCAAAACCTTTAATAACTTACTACTCTCTGAAACTTTAGATAACAAGCTTCTAGACAGTAGTGGGTTCGTGGATCCAACAGTAACGAACGACTGAAGGTGGTCAAAGCAATCATTGTGTCCTTGTTGGTGGTGCTGGGTGTTGTTACTGCTACAACTATGGACTACAAGACGGCGTACCTTATCGGACGGCCACATCGTTGGTTGTCCAGTAGTAACTGTGACCAAGTTTTGTTCCCTTGACTTGAGAAGAATAACTTCTCTCAACAGGTCATGGATTCGACAAGTGTTGGGCATTCCTTCGTAAAACACCTTAGTCACTTGAATTAGGTTTCTATTGACGAGTTCACTGAGATAACCCAAGGCTACATCTGCAATACTCATTCCTTCCCTCCATTCCACAAACCTTTCAGCAATCCACAAATTAACGAGTCTTGCGCATTCTATTTCGTAATCCTCTGGGAAGATACTTGTGTACAACAGACACGTCTTTAGATGCCAAGGCAAATCACCATAACTGAGAGAAAGTATCTTTTTAACTCTGTCCAGCTTGCCCGTGCCTTCTAATTCACACCCAAGGCTACGTCGAACCATCTCCCATTCGTCTATTCTGTTTACATCTTTCGAAGCCAAAAGCCCACTGATTGCAAGGATTGCAAGGGGCAAGCCCTCACATTTATCCAATATACCTTTGGCAACATCCATCAAATGGCCAGGGCAAGTACCACCGTTAAAGATCTTGTTGCAAAACAGGGTCCTTGAATCCTCAACAGATAGTGGCTCCATTCTGTAGACAAAACGCCGAGATTCAATGCAAGAGGCGGAGGCTACATCAGCTCTTCGAGTTGTTAGCATGACACGGTTGCCACAGCAGCTCTCGGGCAGTGCAAATTTGATGGTATTCCAAAATTCCACGTCCCATACATCGTCAAAAACAATTGCATACCTTCCAGCTTGTTGAAGAAAGTTTTTGACAAATTTTTTCAGCTCAGTGGTAGTCATAGACTCTATCGATTGTGGGACTGGTTTCTTCCCTTCCTCGTGTAACTGTCGAATCAAGTCTTTCAGGAGATCATGAAACTCGCATGTTTGAGAGACAGTTACCCAAGCACGAACTGGGAAATGCCTTCTGACTTCAGGATCCTCATGGACTTTTTTCACTAGGGTAGTTTTGCCAAGTCCTCCCATACCAACCACTGAAACAACTTTTAGTTGGTAATCATCCCCTTCGAGGAGCTGAGAAATTAGATGTTTCTTGGGCTGGTCAATGCCAACTAATTTAGCTTCTTCCACAAGCAGCGCATCGTCTCTGCTATAGCGCCAGGTTGTGTTGTTCACAGCAGATACTGAGTTGGACGCCTGGGCAGAGATACCATATTCGGATTGGTATCTTTGATGACCTTCAGAAATACATTTGATTCTGGACTTGATGCTTTGTATTTCGCTAGCAACTCGATGACGAGCTCTCAAATTCTTGATGGAGCTGAAAATTCTCCGAACAGAGCCGTAGAATCCTGTTGCGCGATGCCGAGCAAAGCGAGCTACAAATTCATCAAGAATGTCTTACAGTGTCATAAGCAGCTTCTCGCACTTGCTTGATCCATTCTTGGAGCCTGGGTTGAGCGTCTTCTTCTTTTGCTTCTGCCTCTCTCAGGAAAGCCCTCATGTGCCCCAACTCATCCCTGATGAATTGGACCTCTTGCCGAAGCCCTCCCAATAGTGGTCCCTCCTCGCGCAGAAAAGTTGAGAGTTGATCCAGCACAAAAGAGAGAACTGTTTCTGCCATTTTCAGTCTTTCTTTCTAACTTAAGAATGCGGGGAAGGCGGTTTCTCGTTTATGGGACAGTCCACTTGGTAATATCTTGAAAGGAAGAAGGAAGAGGAGGTTATAGATTCATAAGCTGATGAACTTCGATGCTATATGGTGCAGTATTTATCAAAAAGAAAAAGAAAGAATTAACAAATTAGAAGAAACTAAAGCAAGAAACATGATGGAAATTGAAGACAGGAAGATAGGCAGCAACGTGAGTTGGAAAGACGAAGCTGCTTCTCACCTGCCTAGAAATTAGAATACAAAATCGTTGAAGCTATTAAGAAGACCTTCTTTCAACTGCGGGTCCTTTGGTCGGATAAAGAAAATGGTGTGTCTACTGCAGCATCGTACAAAAGCAATGGTGTCTTATCATTTAGCAAGGGAAGGAATAAAGTTACAACGCGCGTGGACTGGACATTATTGTTGATTTCATTGACGAAGAAATAAAACTACTACTGCAAAGTCTTTTGCACTTCTGCTGACACATATAACCTCCTCCTTCTGAGGATCTAATTTATGCTCTCTCTTTTTTCCAGGAATACGTGATGCAGAGGAAAGTTAATTTCTTCTGAGTGGAACAGAAAAAGCAACTCAAGACCTAAGCTCAATTCAGGTTTACTGATGAATTATTTTGTGAAATCTAACCGAGAGTAGCTGAAACTAGTTAAGAATACAAAATTATACTTGGTAGGCAAGAGCAGAAAGGCACCCAAAGGGCTTGTACACCTATTATCTTCAAATTTCAGAACAGCAGTGCTTGTACACCTATGCTCTAACCCCCCCCCCCACAAAAAAAAAAAAAAAAAAACACCCACCTTGGTAAATTGAAGAAGATCAATAAATTAATGACAAGATGTTCTAAAGTTACAAGGAAATCAATTAGTGCACCATATTTTAAAGAAGGGAATCTGCAAGTGGTGGAGTTTAGTGGTGGGACTGCAAATGCAATTGTGGGCTTCCGGGCTTCAAAATAATGCAAAGATGGCTATGAGGTGGAGCTGGCCAGCTCAGTGCGTGAAACAGCAACGCTCTCTACCAGCCTCATTCTGTTATTAATTTGTAATATGATTGTGGTTATTTATTAGTGTGAACACACATGATTAATTATACATGAAACGCAGAAAGCATCCGAGAAATCCTTTAGTTATCTTCAAATCCTTTAATTTCCACCTACTAACACCGAAAGTAGACTTTATCTACCCGTCCCCCCCCCCCCCCCCCCCCCCCACAAATCCACTTCTTTTTTAATTGAATAGTATTTCAATGCTTTTTCGACCAAATGATGTTGTACTTTATATGGCGACCAAATAGTTGAGCATAATATAGAAAATAAACTAGTAAAATCACAAAATTCGTTGAGAAACTATTCAGAATAAAAAAAGGGTACATGGACAAATAAAATTAATTTTGTAAAAATAATTTTCTATCAGACATTTTTCATATTTTGTATCACAAAAATAAAAAGTAGAAAGGATTTGAACTTCTTCCAAACTAAAATTTGAAGAAAATCTCAAAACATACATAGTCAAAATGTAACTGAAAAAAAAAAAGATTTCTAAAGAGTCAAGAAAAAAAAAAGATTTCTAAAGAGTCAAAGCAAAATGTCTATTGATAGGATGCAAAATTACTATTTAATTTATGATTATTTTCCCTTGATATTTGCTAAACATTAAGTATTATTGGATAGATTTTACTTATATTTGATATTTGGTACTAATTATAGGGAGATGGAGCAAAAAGTGACAAAAAGAGGGAAAAGTCTGAAGTAACGAGCGTTATGATAACGAAACTGTTTTTACCTGATATAACAGGTAAAAACACTTTTAGCGACCATTTGATTACCTGTTATACTGGTCATCTAAATAAAATAGTACCTAAAAATATGGTTAGTAAGTTTTACATTAAAAATAGTTAGTTAACTCAAGAAATTAGTAACTTTTATGTCTCAAAAAGTAAATTTGAAGAAATATGGAACTTACTTTTTTTTTGAAGTAGATAACTACTCTATATCTAAAACTTACTTTTTGGAGAGTAAGTTTAGTTCAAATAATAGTAAGTTTTTATAGACTAATAGTAAATATTGTTGATAGAATAGTAAATTTGGGTTAATCATCAAAACTTACTAGTTTATGGCATAAATTTACTATTTTACTTAAAGAAACTTATATGGAACAAGTATTAGGAAGTTTATTTGAAATAATGCTAAGATTTTTTATTAATAATTGAAACTTAGTATTATAGTTAGTAATTACTCGTAATATAAATGTATGATACACAATTGTACGTATCATTTATAAATGTTATATGTTTTAAGCATTTTAAATAAACTATGAAAACTTTTTTTTTGCATATGACCTTATAAAATATGTAAGAATAATTTGTCATATTATAAATTTTGAATTATTTTTGAATTTGTAAAAGGTTAAAAAGTTTGGATGACAGTAAAAAAAAATCTTTTGAGTTATATATAGAATTGCACTTATCTATACATCACAATTTCCATATATGGACACCGATGAATATAATAAAATGGTACGCAATTTTCATATATTAATGCCTATGAATTTAATAAAATGGTAAAATCTTAATAAATTTATTTTCTGGGTCACAAGTATAAAAATTAAAGTTGTATTAACATAGAATAATCTTTGAAAATTATAGTAAAATTACCCATATGTTAAGTTTTGTGACTTTCAAACATACTTTGTATCATTTACATTATGGATTTGTATCCATATGTTTTCTATCAAACTCTTTTTTTATTGGCAAATGGTAAGTAAATTATTATAAAAGGGCATTTTATAATAATCATAATTTTTAATAGATGAATTTTATGTAAACTGTTAAAATTATGAATTCACAAACGACTAAATCTGACTACTTTATGACACATATTAGTCTAAATGACTAAAAAATTACTGTAATCATGTACACGTTGATTGTTGAATTGAAATTTCTTTTATTACTAGTACAAGTTCTTCTAATCAAAGCAAAATAAAATCAAATATCTTTTCCTTTTGTATGCAATAGTTATGCTTAATAGAAAATTATTAAACCATTTTTACAGTACATAATTTCTCCTAAAATTTGTAACATTTACCATGACCTCTAACCTTGACATTGTTATTTAATTTACCTTCTAAATTTAATTTAATTTTCTTATATTAATTGTTATACTAAATTTATAATTTTTGTTATTATATTATTTCTCATTTTGTTTAGGCTTTTACTCTTATTATTTCTTGTGTCTCAGATGTAAATTTATTAAAACTTTATCATCTTATTATATTCATAGGTGTTAATTTATAAAAATTTTGATATATAAACAAGTAATATTCTATATATAACTAGGAAGATTTGTTGTTATTATTATCCAAACTTTCAAACTTTTCAAAAATTGAAAATAATTAAAAACTTATAATACGACAAAATTTTATTACATATTTTACGAGATTATGTGAAAAGTCAAACTTTTTTCCATAGTATTTTAAAATATGTAAATAAATTTTTTTAAATGTTAACTATATTATGAGTATTATACAGGTATATTATGAGTACTTACTAACTAAGGTACTAAAAATTAATCATTAATAAAACATCTTATCGTTATTTCAAATAAATTCCCTAACACTAGTTTGAAATATGTTTTAAAGTAAAATAGTACATGTGTCTCATAAATCAGTAAATTTTGATTATTAATCAATTTTACCATGTTATCAGTAAGAATTACTATTTATGTATTAAACTTACTATTACATGAATTAAACTTACACTATAAAAAGTAAGTTTGGGATATAAAGTAGTAATTTATTTATTTAAAAAGTAAGTTTAATATTTATTCCAATTTACATTTTGAAGTATAAAAGTTACTAATTTATTACTGTTAACTTACTATTTTAGATGGAAAACTTACTTTCTTATTTTTAAGTGTTATCCTATTTAGGTGGATAGGCCTATCAAATAATCAAATGGCCGCTAAAAGTAAATAAAAAATAAATCGAAAATGGTCATATAAGTGTTATCCTATTTATGTTTCAAAAAGTAAATCGAAATAAAAATGAAAGTTACTTTTTTTAAAAATTAAATTACTACTCTACATTCGAAACTTAGTTTTGTGGGGAGTAAGTTTAGTTCAAGTAATAGTAAGTTTTTATAGATTAATAGTAAATCTTGTTGAAAGAATAATAATTTGGTTAATCATCAAAACTTACTAGTTTGTGGCATAAATTTACTATATTACTTAAAGAAACTTATATGAAACAAGTATTAAGAAGTTTATTTAAACTAGTGCTAAGATTTTTTTATTAATGGTTGAAACTTAATATTATAGTTAGTAGTTGTTGGTAACATAAATGTATAATAATGATTGTATGTTTCATTCATAAATGTTTTGCGTTTTAAGCATTTTAATAAATGTATGCATCATTTATAAATGTTATGTGTTTTAATAAATTTATTTTCTAGGTCACAAGTATAAAAGGTAAAGTGATCGTATCTAATGTAGCGTAATCTTTTAAAATTATAGTAAATTTACCCATATATTAAGTTTCGTGAGTTTCAAATATATTTCTTATCATTCACAATATGGATTTACATGCACATTTTTTATGAAACTTGCTTTTAATTGGCAAATAGTATGTAAATTATTATAAAATGTCATTTTATGATAATCATAATTTTTATAGGTGAATGGAATAGGTGCAAGATCTTGATACTGTACTACAACACAAATTTGGGGATAAGTACAAGTTTCAGGCATCGTCATTTGAATTTGACGAATCTCCTAACATTTCTAAACAACCGAATGGGTAACTTTCATTAATGACGTTTTAAAGCCTAAAAAACCGTGTGCTGAGTATTGTATAACATGAGTATTTGAGTTGCTTTTCGAGTTCTGCTCATCAAGTAAGCCAGTCCAATTTGAAGTAAACAGCAAAATCTACATGCACAAGACATTTGATATGAAATTGGTATTTCAAAATAGGAGAAAACGGCTCATTTTGAGCATCAGAATGAATCTAACTTTTAATAATTGATACTTACGCATCAAAATTAAGCTGGCAGGACACTAGATATAGCTATCTAAGCATGACAAGATTACATGGCCAAGAACTGAATTTAGAGCACAAAGACTTTGGCTTCAGAAATCTGAAGCAATCAAAAGGCTAGTAACTTGATTTGAGAATTTGATCACCAGCATCAAGGGCTCTGATATCACTATCAAAAGCTTCAGTTTGGATTGACATTTCTGGTTTACAAACCCAAGAGCACTTGGATGCTAACAATATCTGAAATTTGATCACCAAACTTTTTTCCAAGCAAGCTGAAATTATTCACATTAAAACAAGTAATCACCAGAAATTGCAAACTAAGGAGATTATGTTCAGATTTACAATCAAAACGCATTAAACTACCTTCGAAGAAACTTAAATCATCCTAAAAGCTTTGAGCAAAGACGTGCAAAAACATTTGTACTCTCTCAAGAATAAAATTCCTTAATGGTCTTGGCTGAAATCTGGTTCATTCACTACAAAACCATCACAAGATTTGTATTAAAAAAAGGCCACAACAACACATAATCATAGCAAATAAATAACATAAAACTTAGGCGTGAAGAAGGAAAGATGTACCTGAATACTTTTCATCTCCTAACAAGCTAGTGTTTTGTACATGACTTTGGATTAATGAAGGATTGCATGCCCACATTAATGCCTATACAAATGCAAATAGAGCACCATTATATTTCATGCCTTCACACAAAAATAAATAAAAGCAAGCTATACATTACCTGACCAGGAGGAATGATCTGAAACCAATTACTATCCATTAATTCCTTATTGCATCCATGCTGTGAATCTGATTGCAATAGGCCATCGGATGATCCTATCAGATTCAAATTTACATTCTCAACATTATTGGGTGCCCCAACATGATCATAATTGTGAGTTTCATATGCATCTGTGCACACTTTAGTACATTTTCGTCTATCATGTCCAAATGACCTGCGGGAAAAAAATTGCCAAGCACAATCCATAAACAATAAGATTGAATTTATAAAGGCGTATATGAAGTGTACATATATAACTAACATTTTTGGCCTTCTAACATAAAGCCAATGAGTGGATGAAATTTAGCATTGCTCATTCATATCTGGTTTTGCAAAGCTATTCTAACCGTAGAATAAGTCAATTTTAAGAGTAGGTGATTACTTGCAATTTTTGCATCGTCTTCGCTTTCGCTTGTGAGTGGACTGTTTTGCCTTTTGTCCCTTTGTAGCAACAACAATTGGACCAAGAGAAAGTATGGACCAAAGTGGAAACCTTTGCCTGGGAATTCAATCGTATCGTTGGAATTGAGAACTAAATAAGAAGAAGACAGATGACTTTAAAGAGATAGGTGATACCCGAAAGTGTTTCAAGAACCCAAAACCGTTTTCAGCAACCCAAAATCATTTTTAGAAACCCGGTGATTTTTTCACTTAAATATGTAAATTTTTTACTTTTAGTATTAGTAAGTTTAGTTTAAACATAAGTAAATTTTGTCAAATAATAAGTAAATTAAATTACTCAAAGTGTAAATTTCTATTTCTGACTAAAACTTATCTTTCAGGCATATACTTACTAGTTTGAATTAAAAACTTACTTATCTTCTCGACTTGGCAACCCGTTTCTTTTCTAGGTATTTTATGATTAGAACTCCATTCTCTCTATATTACAAACCATCATCAAACTAATTGAAAACCTCAATTCTCATATAAACCATTCATCTGAATTTTGTTCCAATCAACCCATTCAACAGATTTATGTTCCAGTCTAATCGTTATGATATAGCAATGGCATTAACAAGCTATTTTGACTCTCCCGGTAAGGGTTTACGTATTAGTAATTTTTTAGGAGGAAGATGAGTTATTCACATGTCCAAAATATCGAAACAACCAGCATAATCTAATCCTTAGTTCAATGAAAGTCACAAATTTGCGGGTAGGTAGATTAGATTATGTTGAATGCCTTTGGCTCTTTACAATGAAATTCAAAATTTTTTCTCATGACAGAGCAAAGACGGTGATATAATTGATTGTGTCTATATGTATCAACAACCAGCATTTGACAATCCTTTGCTCAAAGACCACTGGATTCTGCAGGTTTGCCCCATGCAACACCATTCAAAAGAAAAATAAACAAAAAAATGCAAAAATATGAAGTATGTATAACACCATAATTGATTGATGGTCGGAAACTGTTCTATGAATTTTCTCTCCTTTCCTGACTGAAGAAGAGGGAAGATGTGATTCTACAAAATCTACATGTATCATAGGATGGTAATAAGAATTGCTTCTGCAACACAGATTTACAAGAGTAATAATGGCCAAATTTCCGTGGCATTGCAGACGTTACAATGGAGTAAAAAATTCAAGAGGCTGATAATAAATTTCCATAGAAACAACAGATTCGCAACAATGATTCTAGATCAGTTCAGTTCAATAACATATGCTCCATCAAGCGTATCAACTTAGAATTCCAAAACGGGAGAAACCTCTCTTGCCTGAAGAATTCAAGTTATAAAGCTCATGTTGAGTTACTAATATATTAGTAATTCTCACCCGCACAGAGTAGCAATCACAACATACAAATTTCTCTTTGACATTTCACCAAACATCTTATATGCATTCACAAATTAATCACATTTAACTTAAACGCCTAGTCTCAAGTCCTTTCCTAGATGTTTCACATGGCTATTAAACATATTTTACCCGTAGACAATCAAAACTACAACCATTTCCTAGATGTTTCAACGGACATTTTCGGCCCCAAAATTGCAATAAAATCTTCAAATTCTCAGCCTTGATTTCCCAAGAAAATCTTGACAAATAAAACAAATAAAATATAAATAAATTACAGCAATATAATCAAACGATTTCAAGAGAACATGATGATTTAACCTTGTCACTGCTATTTTTCATATGCTCTTTGGCTGGCTACCACCGTCGCTAACCCTTTTGTTGTGTTTGCATATGGCAGCACTCAAACCCAACCGAACGATGAGAAAGGATAGAAGCAAAGTGTGAACTAAAGATGAAAATTTTGAAGTGAGAAGATTTATTCAATTGTAACAAAGAGAAAGTGTGGATCAAAGTGGAAACCTTTGCCTGGGAATTCAATCGTATCATTGGAACTGGGAACTGAATAAGAAGAAGGTAGATAACTTTAAAGAGAAAGGTGATACCCAAAACCGTTTTCAGGAACCCAAAACCGTTTTTTTACTTAAATATGTACATTTTTTACTTTCAGTATTGGTAAGTTTAATTTAAACATAAGTAAATTTTGTCAAATAATAAGTAAATTAAATTACTCAAAGTGTAAATTTCTATTTCTGACTAAATCTTATCTTTCAGGCATATACTTACTAGTTTTAATTAAAAACTTACTAAAGTTAATATTAATTATTTTAATATAATATTTAAAAAGTCACTAAAAGATTTGATCTGTCACTAAAGGTAATAGAAACTTATAATAGCAGGTTTCCCTAATATCGTTACCATAACTATAGGCACTATAGCACTGTCCTAAAAAGAGTGATTTTCCAAGAATTGTGGTCAAGTCCGAAGAGGCAGGATTTACGTGCATGGTAGTTTTTCCGTTCAAGTTGAAGTCCTGAAGTGCATGTGCCCTTTTTCCAAGATAATTAGCTTTTCATTTTGTATTAGGAAACAAATATTTATCTTTCGTTAATTTAGGAAGTATTTCTTTCGTGGGAAAGTAGAAGTATTAGTAGTAGTAGTAGTTTAGGAAAGAGACGTAAAGAGTAGGGATTCTTGGCTTCAAAGAGTTTTTCCGGATCCCGAGAGATTGATCAGTCTCGGGCAAGAGACGAAGCTTGTCTCTTCGTTTTCTTCCTTTGCCTTCGTTTTTCTCCGATTGTCAAATAGTCATGTAATTTTCATTAATGGAATTGCTTGGGTTACTTTCAATGGAGAGTAACAAATTTTCTTTTCTAGTCAAGAAATAACGAAGGATTTGGTTCATATATATATGTGAAATCTAATTATTTTTATTAATTTCTTTATTCGTTAGTATTCGTATATTTTTTAATTTAATTTCTCATGATTATTATAATGTTTGAATATCAAAGACCCGATATTTAATTCAACTTGACAAACTAATACCAGTTAAGATAGTTAAATTCGTAATTGTTTAATTGTTTTAAATTAGTAGCGTGATTTGTTTCATGTTAGGAAAACATATAATCTAGTTTAAATAAATCCTGGTAGTGTGTTTATTAATTAGAATAGGGTTTTTCTAGTTTCTAATGCAATCAAAAAATTAACTTCTACAGGCTTACTTAGGGTTATTTCTTGATTAGGAAAATAGTTAACGGACATACCTTAACTATCGATACACTAAGAAAAAGTTGGTTGTCATCGCTTATTTGACAACTATAACCGGTTTATTAATGAATATATGAAATAATTCTTACATCGATGATCAGTTGTGTGAACCACTTCCGGAATTATATCCTTAGCTAGTGCTTGCTTATTCTTAATTTAAATTTAATTTGCTTTAGTTTAATTGTTTTTATTTGCATCAATTATTTATTTTAATTTTAATTTTCCAAAACCCCCAATTAGTTTTTACTTGGAAAGTGACAGATTTTTTCTCAGTCCCTATAGATTCGACCATGCCTACCACTATATACAAAATTTATATTTTATTTGAGTAGGTATTTATTATTGCACAGACTCGACACTTGTCGTATATGAATCTAAATAAATGTTTTTAATTGTATAGTTGATACAATTTTGTTAATATCTTTTATAATATACTAAAACCAATAATTGTCAATCTTCAGTGTGTAGAGTGTACACCAAACCAGTCAAATATGTATAAGAAATGTTATTTTTTTTTTATTTATAACCTCTTTCATGGAGAAAAAAAACATCTTTATTAAACTACATTGATTTTATGAGTACTAAGTAGGGATGGTAACGGGGGCGGGCACCCGCCTCGCGGGGGTCATTGGGGCGGGGGTTAGGGCGGGGGCGGGGGAATTTTTCCCTCCCGTTTAGAAACAGGGCGGGAGACGGGGGTATACTCCCCCGCCCCACCCCCCGCCCCGCCACCCGTTTGAAATATATATATATGTACATAACTATATACATATAATGATATTATCAATTATACTACTAATTATACATATCTATTGATAGAGCAGTTATTTGGCACATTTTGCATTGTCATCTTGTTCTAATTTTGGCTATTCATGGTGCTAAAAAAGGGAATTTCACTCATATTTGATATTTGTGTGAATTGTAGGTGATTAGCATTAAAAATGATATTTTGAGGTGAATTTCCAGAAGACTTCTCATTTCAGGGCGTGGCCACGCCTTAGAAGGTGGACGAAATCGAAAGCCGGACCCTGGTCCACGTGAACCGCGAGGAGCACAGGATTAAAACTCCAAAGGCTTCAATTAAAAAGCAAAGAAAGGGCCAGACGTTTTTTGGGCTTCTGCTTGACTTTCTTGCGGCGGCTACAAAAGGCAAAAGAAAGCCAGATTCACGTATTAGGATTTTAGATAGCTTTAGTTTTCTTTTTTCCGAGCCGTCAGACGTCGGCAGACCTTTTCGTTTTCGCTCTTGGCTTGGGTGCTTTTGACTCTTTTGCTTTTACTTTGGCTCTGTACAATTTCCGTTGGCTTGTGCGTTATACTTTTGGGCTTCAGTACAAACATCAACGCGGAGACAAGGAAGACTTTTTCCTTTTTCTTTCTTCGGTACTTCAGCGTTCCAAATTCTGTGATGTTTGCGCGGGTGTTTTCAATTAAATCACGCCGGATTGACACGATGAGGAGCGGCTAATTTCCTCCTCTATCCAAAGGTTGACGCGAAGGCGCGGTCCATAATATCTGTGAGATCTAACCGAATCTTCATTATTTCCTCCAACTAATTGCTATTCGTGCGTTTCCTGAATTAATTGTTCATGGGTATTTTATTAATTGAATATCAACGGCCGGGTATTTGATTTAATTTAATAGCCTACTGCCACGTTAATTAAATAGAATCCGTAATTGTTCATTTAGTTAACACCCCGTGGCAACCACCATAATTGGTTTTATGATGGGGAAACGCAGGATCTAGCTTAAATAAACCCTCTTAGCGTGTTTATTGGTTAGGGTTGGGTTCTTCTAGCTTTAATGCAATTGGGTAATTAAATTCCTACGGTCGTACCTAGGGTTGTTATCTGGTTAGGGAAGCAGTCAATGGTCGTACCTTGACTGTCGAAAAGGTAAGGAAGAACTGGTTGTCAGAGTTTATTGATAACTATAACCAACCTAGTGATAAATGGATGAAATATCTTTGCATCGATGAGCATTTAATTGGACCGTGCCTGAGCAGTTGATCCTTTGGGTAGAACTTTTAT